GAATACAATTTGGGCAGTTTTATGGAATTTTTGTATTCATTGAACTGTGTATGCATTCTACATATTTTGAATATACTTCATGATAATATACACACTAACTATAATATTTTCTAAGGTTGTGTATGTTCCAAGTGAATGGTAATCGACAACCTTGTAGATCTGTTAACAGACAAGACCCAGGTTGTTTCATACAAATAACCATGTAAGGACCCTCCCAATTTGGAACAAGTTTACCCATGTGCGAATAAGCATTAGTGAGCTCGGCTCTGCGTAAAACCAGGTCGTCGACTTGAAATTGACAAGCATGAACCCTTTTATTGTAAAATCTAATAACACGACTTTGATAGGCCACGTTTTTCATCCAAGATATCTCCTTAACCTCCTTGACAAGGTCTAGGTTTTCTCTCAGGAGTTGCTCATTATTAGAATTGTTATGTTGAGCTGATCCGTTGGGTGATAAGTTAATTTGTACAGGGACAACGGCCTCAACTCCATAGGCAAGACAAAATGGGGTTTTGCCGGTGGTCAATCTAGGTGTAGTGCGGCACGACCAGAGCGCTTTGTTGAGCTCGTCAACCCAATTAGAGTGCGCAACTAGGACATGTGTCTTAAGGCCATGCAAGATGATTTTATTGGCTAACTCTGCTTGTCCGTTTGACTATGGAGTATATACAGACGTAAGGGCTAGCTCGATATGAATTACATCACAGAACGACCTAAGTGCTGCTACTCGAAACTGGGGTCCATTGTCAACAACTATTCACTTAGGGATACCAAACACACATGCAAACGCATTGGCTAAGACACAAATATTTGTGCACATAACGCATATATGGTTTAAGCCATTGAAGAGTACCTGTACAATATGGAATTGAACAAGAACTCCTCTATTTTCTTCTCTGTTGTTGTGGATAACGATTTGGCTTCTACCCATTTGGTAAAATAATCCACAGCAACAACGAGGTGTGTGCAACTTTCTTTACCTTTGACAAAAGGGCCAAGCATATCAATTCCCCATTGACCAAAAGGCCATGGTGATGGAAGGGAAGATAACATTTCTCCTATGCCAAAGGAGATATTCATGTTCAGCTTAGAGACAAACATGAAGTTTGTGCAAATTTTAGAACAAGCTCAAGTACCTAGCATGTGAATGTCGTCAGCGTTGAACTGGCAGGTTGGACATTTTCTGACATAACTTTGCGCATCCTCAACCATAGTAGGCTAGTAATACCCATGTCTTAGGATTTTCCAAGCTAAGGTTTTTCCCCTTATATGTGTGCCACACACTCCTTCATGAACTTCTCTCACTACGTATTCAGCTTTACAAGGAGTGAGGTAATGCAGCAAAGGCATTCAATCTGCTCATTTATACAATTGATCATCAATCAAGGTGAAATGTGCCGCCCTGCATCTTATTAATCAAGCATCAAATGGATCCTCAAGTAATTCACCATTTCACAAGTAATTAATCAAGGGTGTAGTCCAACTTCGTGATGAGGGGTCTATACTTAGTACTTGGCACTCAACTATTAGGTCAATATAGCTTGGTGCATCAAGTACCTGATGAATGTTGTCCTCTGAGGATTGATATCTTGTGATGAAGCTAACTTTGACAGCTCATCAGCTTGTCGATTATTCGCCCTTGGTATCTTATCAATCTGAAACGAGATAAAACTTGATTTCAACCTACTGACCACATAGGCGAAACAACTGAGCTAGGGTTCTCTGATATCACAACTTCCATTTACTTGGTTCACTACGAGCTGAGAGTCACTAAAGACTCTAATGCTCTGTGCTTTCAGCTCAGACGCTAACTTCAAACCGTAAATGAGTGCTTCATATTCAATAGCATTATTCGTTGTCTAAAATTTGAATTTCAATGCATGCTCAAATTTGAAACCATATGGGCCCATTAACATTGCTCATACCCCTAATCCATCAACATTTACAACCCCATCTACGTACAAAGCCCATACCGGGTATGATGGTGTGGTCTCCTCTACAATTGTCAAGTAGCATTCCACTAAGAAATCTGCTAAGGCTTGGCCCTTAATGGTTGTGCGTGGTTGAAATTTGAGGTCGTATTCACTCAGCTCAATCGCCCATCCAATTAGCTGACCCTAAAGCTCTGGCTTCTGCCATATCTTTTTTAGTGGTAAGTCAGTGGAGACAACAGTCTCATGAGATTGGAAGTAGGCTTTTAGCTTTCAGGCAGTGCAGACGAGTGCAAAAGCAACCTTTTCAACAATCAGATAATTCGGTTCTACACCCTATCAAACTTTGCTTGTATAACAGATGAGTTTCTGATGTTTGTCTTGCTCCCTTAACAAGACTAAGCTGACTGCCTCATCTATGATCCCTAGATACAAACACAACTTCTCTCCTTCGACAAACTTGGAGAGCAAGGGTAGTGATGCCAGGTATTGTTTGAGTTCATCGAAAGCCCACTAGCATTCATTAGTCCATTGGAAGTTCTTGGGCTCTCTCAAAGCTTTGAAAAATGGGAGGCATTTCTCAACTGACTTGGCAATAACTCTGTGCAGGGCAGCTAAGTGACCCATCAAACATTGCACATCTTTGACTGATTTAGGAGATTCCATTTGCTGCACGGCCTGAACCTTGTTTGGATTTACCTCAATCCCTTTCTTGGACACCACATAGCCCAGAAATTTACCTAATTCTATAGCAAACGTACATTTCAGGAGATTCAACTTCATCTGTGCTCAGCGTAGGTTTTGAAAGGTTTTGAAATGTTTCATTAAGGTCGTCAATATGGTCTTCAACTCGCACACTAATGACGATCATGTCATCAACATAAACTTCGATATTTATACTAATCTGAAGTTTAAATACGACCTGAACCAACTTCTGATATGTTGCGCTAGCATTCTTCAAGCCAAACGGCATCATGACATAACAGTAGATGGCATCCCCCGCATAAAATGCCATTTTCTCTTGATCATCCAATTAGAGCTGAACTTGGTGGTATCCTAAGTAGGCATCTAAAAAGCTCATGCATTCGTGGCCTATTGCTAGCTCTACCAATTTTTCCACATTGGGCAAGGGGTGTGGATCTTTAAGACATGCTTCATTCAAGTTTGTGAAATCAATGCATATTCTTCATTTGTCGTTAGGTTTTTTGATGAGCATAGGATTAGATACCCATTGTGAATAGTTAACCCGCCTGATAAAACCTGCCTGTAATAGCTTCCATATCTCTTCATCTATAGCAACTTGCTTCTCAGGGCCAAAAGGTGACATTTTTAAACCACTAGCTTTTTGGTGGGGTCTGTACTGAGCTTGTGAACTACCAATTCTGTCAAAATTCCAAGCATTTTGTCTGTTGTCCATGCGAAAACATCCTAGTTGGCCTTCAACAACTCCAAGAGCTCCGTCCTCTCTTCCTTTGTGAGCTTAGTTCCAATGTTCACTGTTTTTTCTAGTTCATTGTGGTTTAATGGAACTGTCTTTACTGGCTCTATTGGCTCAACCTTCTACTCCACATTCTCAGGTCGATGATCTAGGCCAGAAATGTTCATTGTCTGTTGACCTGGCTAATGTGGCCTAAAAGCCTCTAAAATGGAGGCCTTGGGTGCTACTACAAGCTCGACCTTTTTAAATGTTGCATGGTAGCAGGTTCTGACCATTTTTCGGTTCCCTTTAAGCACTCCTACATCCTAAGGAGTTGGGAACTTCATGCAAAGATATGGTTGAGAGATGACAACCTTCAATTCATAAAGTGTAGTTCTTCTAATTATAGCATTGAAAGCTGATTCCATCTTAACCACTAGAAAGTTCACTGACGTCATCCTAAACCGTGGTTTAGCACCCACGTAGATGGGAAGTGTGATTAGTCCCTCAATAGGGACGGGCTGATTGTCAAATCCATAGATTGGCCCTTCATATTTCTTCAAGGAAGTTGGGTTTAGCTGCATCTTTTGGAAGCATCTCCAATATAGAATGTCCGGAGAGCTGCTCGTATCTACGAAGACCTTATTTACGTTGTGATTGTCGATGTGAACTGTTGCCACGAAGGGGTTAGCGTGGGGCATCATAATGTCGGGTTCTCCTACTAGTCTTTTGTAATTAACATGACTAAAGGTAATGGGCGTATTTTCCCATTCTGCTTCCTCAAATGTTCGTTTAAGTGGCCTATTCTTGTTCACTGTCATCACTTGGCGAGCATAGGCTTTACGACCTCGGGCGCTCTAGCCCCCTGAATGCATGCCACCTAAAATCATATTGATTGTGCCAGAGGGTGAAGGTATCCCGCTATAACCTATCCCTCTATGGTCCTTTTGGTTTTGTGCAGAGATTTTCTGTCCCTGTCCTCTTCTGTTGAAGGGGCGTCCTCTGTACGTTATGCCAGATTCAAAAGGGTATTGATTCCCTTTGTATGGATTTTGATTATTGTCGAGCTAGTACCCTTGCCCTTGAGGTCGATTGTACTTTTACACAAAGTGAGTTTGACTGGGCCACTGGGCGTAAGGTTTCTAGACATATCCTTGCATTTTTCCATTGTAAGCTAAGAATTCCAGCTCGTCCTTCAGGCTCTAACAGTCTTTTGTGTTGTGACCATATCCACGATGGTAGTCACAATATTTTCTTCTATCTGCTCGCAAGGAATCATGTAGCAGGGGAGGTGGTGTCTTAACCTAGTGCTGGATCTATGCCAAGATTTGAGACCTTGATGAGTTCAAAGGGATGTAATTGGCATATTTTGGGAAAGACGGCGGCTTTCCTCTTTGCTTGCCAACTTTCTACTTTTTCTTCTCTTCTTTCCCTTTTGGTTGTTTGTGCTCTTTACTTTGTTATCATCAGCGCATCGCTTGGACTACTGAAAGTCTTTTGACAGTATAAAGCTCGCCAATCTATCATTCACCTCATTCCATGAATTTGGTGGATTTTCCAATAGGTCATCTAGGAACCAACTAGGCTTAAGGTCATGCAACAAGGCAAACAAGCAAATGGTTTCAAGGACATTATTAATGTCTAAGGTGGCCTTGTTGAATCATTGCATATAGTCCCTCAAGGACTCTCCTTCCCTCTAGTGAACCTGCATCAACTCAGTAGCTGTTCGTTTTATCTCCCTCTAGCTCACAAATTTGTCAGAGAACAACGTAGCGCGCTGGGAGTACGAAGCTATGGAGTGTCTGGGGAGCTTGTGGTACCATCTTCTAGCAGTGGATTTCAACATTGAAGGGAACGCTTTGCACATCATTGCATCAGTGGTGTTCTGAATTTTCATGATGGCTTGATAGGTGTGCAAGTGTTCGTCCAAGTCGTCAGAACCATCATATGTTTCTAAATGAGGAATCTTGAATCCCTCCTGATATTGTTCTATTGTAATGGACAGGTTGAGAGGAGTGCTATCTAAATCCAAGGCTTGCTGACGCGACCTCAGACTTTTTAGCTCATCAACAAACCTCTATATATCTTTAAGTTGCTTTTCGAGTTCTGCGTTTTTCTTCATTAATTCATCACTATGCTTGGACGAGCTGGGCTCTGGATTTAATTTTCCACTTCCTATTAGCTTGGTTGGAAGCACCACATTCTCAAGGCCAGGGAGTTGCGGGTTGCAACTACTGCTGCTGGCTACTCACCCCTATTCAGTAAAGGAATTAAGGGGTCATCAAGGATCAGACAAGAGAGAATTTTTCCCATGGCTATTTCTAGAACTCTGGTTCTTTCTTCTAGCTCGGTCATCCAGCAGATTCCATGGGTCTTTCAGGTCATGAAGTATTTTACCTAGAATGCCTTCGCCTTATTTCCGCTTGGATGTGAAACTATTCTTCGAGTTGGGTTGCATACCCAGTAGGTGTTCATTTATCATCCAAGCTATCTGCCTGTTCTTATTATGCTCCTCTAACGAAAAGGTTTCTTTGCATTGGCCGGAAGTCATTCAGGTCACTTTCCAAAGGTTGAGTATTATCCTGGTTGTCCATGCTACCTCTCGGGGGGCGGTTCCCTGTAAAGATGTGTACCATTTTTAGCTCAAACTAGTTAAACTACACCACTTTTTATTCAGTTTCCCACAAACAGTGCCAAATGTTTGGGCAACTTCACGATCCTACACTGTAGATATCTTTAACTGCTTCAACATCTGAAAATCCCGAGGATATTTCCTCAGGGAAAACACTCTGACGCTCAAATTAATAATATTCAATATTCTAGAGAGAAAAGCTCTTGAGGAGTAATTACAGAGAGAGAAGCATAGTGGAGTTAATACCTTGAATAGAGGTAGTTATGGGTATTTATAGCTCCCAAGTCCTGACATAAAAGTACACGTGTGTGCCTCTGATTAGTCCCTTTATATGCACCCACGTGGGTATGTCTAAATTAGTACTGAATGTGTCTTCGTTGTGGGCCTAAAGATGAACTCCTGGGCCTATTGTATATGACCCAGGTAGGATGTTAGGCCTATTCCCAACAGCAATGAAGAGTCTAGAACATAATCGAAGGGATTCTTGAATGTTCCATGCTGGTTTGGAATAGGAAAAGAGTTTAAGCAAACTATAGTCCTTGTACCATGCATTTTTTTTTATTAATCATCCCAGTACAATTAAATCGTTTGTTGTGGTCCCCCTACTCCAAAAATGTGAAAAAAGCATGATCTTTTGGTCTTTGCATTGACACCTTTACTAACATGAGACTAATTATGGGTTTTACTGGAAGTTTGGGTTTAAAAAATATATTTTTTAAAAATTCCAATTTTGATGTGGAACCCACCATCATTCCACATCACATCAGCCCAATTTCGTTTTACCTGATAAGTTCATTAACTTTCAAAAAATAATTTTGGGTTTTCTAGGAAAATTTCCATCATCTTGGAAGGTATGGTTGTATTTGCATATTGTTTACATCAAATATATACATAGTTAATAGTTAATTTGCAAACTTTTAATTTTTAGTTTATTTGAAGTGTAGGTTCATAAAGAATTCTACTCACTTTTGATTTATTTAGTTTACGAATTTAGAAGATAAAGGCATGTTTCGTGTAGTAGTTAAAATCTAGCAGATAAACAACCGCAATAGTACTAGTAGGTAGCAATTAGTAGATAGCGAAAAATAGATGGTGGATTATAAATGTGAATTTTAATTGATATAACTATTTAATTATATAATTGTTAGTGCTTATTATTTAACAATAAATAATTAATAAAAGCAATATTTAAGGGGGTGACTTAATAGTTAAGAACTTAAAATTCTAAGTTGAAAATTCCAAGTTTAAATCTTAAATCAAATGGTGAGAGATTTAGGAAAAAGTGAAGGCTATCCCCTCTTGTATAACCAATCATTATCAAATATACCAAAAAAAAATAATAAGAGTATGTTCAAAAATAATTAAACATATTTTTCCTTTTTATATTTTTATTATTAAAAGTATTAATTTTATAAAAGTAATAATAACAACTTAATAAATAAAATATAAAAGTGTGAATCACATATTCATCTAATTAACAAATTTTGTTTATTAAGTTAATATAAATTTTTTAATGATAAGTTAACGTAAAAAAATACAAATATAATAACCGTTTAATATTATTAAAGAGAAAATATGAATTTAAAACCAATTTGATAACTAGGAATGAAAAACCGTGGCAAAAATTAAAAAGTTAAAATGGATAAAATTGTTGATAAAATTAAAAAAATTTTAATTTGTTAGAGATTTGGTACAAAAAAATTATCCTAAGAGCCTATTTGGTTAGAGAGCCACTTTACCAAGAAAGCTTTTGTTGAAAATGTGGTTAGAAAAATATTATATGAAAAATTAAAAAATAATGTACAAAAATTGCTAAGTTTTGT